GCCCTGGGCAAGGCGGGCAGATTCTCCGGTTCCTCCCTGCCAGGGCCTGCCGCCGGCAGCTCCGAAATCCTCACCTCACCACTGGAGGGGTCCCAGCAGGATGTGGGGCTGGTCCTGCAGCCCACCTTCTCCTTCACCGTGCGCTGGCGGCTCCGAGGTAGGCAGGAGGGGGCCATCACCCTGCAGTGGGGATGCCAGCGGGATGCAGGGGGGTGGCTTTGAGCCTCACCACCCCGACTCATGCCACCTCGGACCCTTCTAGGCACGGAGACAGCCCAGATGACTGCCTTCCTGGGCCAGTGCTACGTGGGCGCCAACGGGGAGGAGACCCTGCATGCCCTGTGGCTCCTGAGAGAGGCGGCTGACAGCCCCACCGAGGACTGGAAAGCCACCCGGTGAGCACTGGGTCCCGGCCACCGCTGTGCCAAGTTTTCCTGCACCCTGGGCTGGAGAAGGGAGAAATCCCAGGGGAAGAGGCATGGCAGGACCAGGAGGGGGAAATTCACCGGTGATGAGCAGGGGCTAAGGAGCACCCCTGTGACCTGGCCAGCCCCTGCATCCCGGGTGTGCCGCAGCGTGGGTGACCCCAGGACAGGGTCTGTCCTGAGCCAGATCCCCCCCGGGACTCTCCTTACACTCTCCCCAGCAGGGAGAGAGCAGGACACGATGCCAGCACCCGATGCAGCCTCTGCTACAGGGTGTTGGAGCCTGTGGCATCCCACTCAGCACCCAGCGAGGCAGCGGGGAATGCAGTGCCCCCCCTCGGGTTTCCCCTCTGGACCCTCCACCACAGCATAGGTGACATGAACCACAGTGATTTGGGGTTTCCTGCAGGATTGGCACCAGAGTTTTCACCCGGATAAAATAACAGCAAGCAGGGAAATCCAGGAGACTCAGGACTGCAAGGATACAGCGCTTCCCCCGGCCAAGCTCTGCCCGCGCTGACATGCTGCATTTCAGCAGCTCTCAGCCCACAGGTTCATGCTTTCCCAGGCAAGTTCAGCCCAGTGTGAAGGCTGGGCACCAGGTGCAAAATAAAGGGTTTTTGTGGGGATGTAGGGCTTGACTCTGGTTTCTGCCCTGCCTCAAACCCATGGGGTTTGTCTTGCCCTGCAGCCAGCCTCCCATGGGGAGGCTTCATGCGGCATTGCCAAGGGCAGCAGGGTCCCTGGGGATGGGGGCTGTCCCATGTCCCCTCCCTGGCAGTGTGCAGCAGCGCTGCACCGGCAAACCTGCCGCTGTGCTGTGGGTAACTTGTCCCCTCGGGGTCCCTCCCAAATGTCCCCAGGAGTGCGGGGGCAAACCAGGCAGTGACCAGGCAGCGGGATGAGGCGCAGCCTTGGTGGGATGCCATGGGCAGCATGTCCCAGGGCTGCAGGGCAGGCTCCAGGCAGAGCCTGCCCTGTGCAGAGCAGAGCAGAGGAAGTTTCTCGGGCGCCCGAATACACAGGGCGGCTGCAAATGGCTTTTGCAGAGCCGGCAGCCTCCTGTTCCCAGCCCCGGCGGATGTGCTGCGGCGGCCGGCTGCCAACCGCCCCGGGGGTGGGGAAAGCTCCCAAACAGCCCATTCCAAGAGAGACCCCTCGGTGTGGCCGTGTCCCCTGAGCAATGCACATGTGGAGGTCTCCAGCCAAGCCTTTGCCACACTACGTGTGGCCAGGGAAAGGGAAGAGGGGAAGGACGCATCTGGCACTGGCTGGTTGTTTTTCGGGCATCCCAGCCCGACCTCTCTGCTTTCTGCCTCAGACATCTTGCCAAAGGGGTCCCAACATGACCAGCTCGGGTCCAGCAGTCCCAGGGCTGAGGTGCCCAGTTTCGGGAGCTGGGGGAAGGCGGTGGCTCCATTGCTGTATTTCCAGCTGCTTTTTTAACGGGGCGCTTAGATTTCTGCAAGTTTTTCTGTTTCCACCAATATCCAGCAGCTGGTGCTAGTAGATAAAAATAGGATGGGTGCTGACACGGGGTTTAGGTTTCCCTTGAAAAGGAGGGTTTGTCTTACTTCGGCTACTGACTGAAATTCCCACCTCTCCAAGGAACGCTGATTCCTTTAAAAAAAAAGGAAGACCTGATTCCTTTAAAGCCGTGAGCAGGAGGTGTTTTGTTCCGGCCACACAGCCCAGGCCTTCCTCGGCAATAGGAGGCAAATTTAATTTCATGCTTTCACAACTTCCAATATGTTGCCACCATGGAAAGGAGACGGCACTACCAACACTCACGGAGTCACCAAGCAAAAAAGAGAGGGTTTCAATTCGGCAACACCCATATGGGACTTGCCAAGGATTGAGCAGAATATTTTGCCCTGAAAGGCTCATGTTTGTGGTCTGTCGGCGTGCTCCCACGATGCTGATGCAGGCACTTGCCGGGACATGCGTGGGATACGGGTTGACCTTGGGAATAACAGAGGGAACACGGTGGGGAGGGCAAGCAGGGACTGTAACACCAGCCTAAGCCAGAGTGCGGGGCCATGTGTGCGTGCAAGCAGCGCCGATGCACACAGAGCCTGCACTCTGATCCCTGCAGCGTGCAAGGGAGATAGATGTCGTGGAGGGTCTGCAGCAAGGAGGAGGAGGAAGGTAGCAGAAATACCAGGCTCCTCCTGTTCCTCTGCCTGATGGAAACAAGGTGTGAGCCTCCTTGGCCAAAGGACTCATTCCGGGCATTTTTATCATCGCCGCCCTTTAACCCAAGGAGTGAGGCCCAGGCTGGGCTTCCTTCCTCTCGCCGGCTCAGAGTTGACCACTGTGGGACCAGCATGAGATCACAGACAGCAGTGAAAAAGAGCAGCCCCGGGGCAGTGGGGGCTGAGACTGTGGAGCAACCGTCCCCAAAACTCCCGGTGCAGACACAACCCCAGTGCAGTAGGGGAACCAGCTCTGGGCTCTGCGATATCCCAGCCTCTGCCGCAAGCTTTCTGCATGGAAGGGCCGCACTGGCTGGGGGGGGCAGAGCCTGGCAGCAGGAGCGTGTGTTCGGCTGCATTTGATGAGGAGTCCACTGCGCTCGCCTGGCTCCCTGCCCGCTCTCCCAGAGCTATCTCCCCTCCTGACATTTGGCCAAGCAAGCCAGACTGCTGTGGAGCGTGGTGCTGGCCCCATTGCCCTTGGCCAAACACCAGCTCCGGTGGCCGTTCCCTGCTTTGCTGGCAACACCACCGTGTTTTATTTTGGATTGCTCTTACAATATTGGTTAGTGCTGGGCCAGGGACTCCAGGTGACATCAATGGCATTACGCACCCTGGCCTTGAACCGCAAAAAAACAAAATTAAAAAGTGAGGATGGGATCCTAGACCTTCTTGCCACTGTGCACGGCTCCTGGGGAAAAAGGCCCACCGGTTCCCTGGGGATGCTCGCGGGCTGCCTGCCCCGGCCAGGGCAGAGCCGCCACCTGATCCTGTTAGGAGCGTGCTGCTGCCCATCCCGAGACAGGGCCCATGCGTGAGCCACCCCTCGTCTGTCTCTCCTCCCTGGGCAGAGACACAACGTTCAATTTTATGTCTTGTTCACCTGCACGAGCACCCTTTGCTTCCCGGGTGGGCTGCAAGCGTGGTGCTGCCTGCACCCGTGGCCTCGCTGGGCTCCCGCGCCCCCAAACCCCACGCCGGGTTCCGCAGCCTGAGCTCAGGGTCTGCTAGAGCCTCCCCTGGACCCAGCAATCCCAGCCAAACCTAGGGCCCAGCCCTGATTTAGCAACCACCCAGCAGGCAGGGCCCTCCCCGCGGCCCCCGGCCGAGGGGATGAGGCTGTTGCACCACCTTGGCTCTGCTCCGCTTCCTGCGATTGTGCAGCTCCCCGTTACGAAAGCAGCGGTGGAAGCAGGCACCGGCTCCTCCTGCTTCCTACTGGGGAAGCTGCTCGCTTCCGCAGCGCCGGCGGCTTGGGTGCACGCAGGTCACACGTGGGCGCTGGGTGCTCACAACATCCACTTGTCTCCAAAAGCGGTTCAAGAGTGTTTTCGCACCCTTGAAGGTGCGTAAGAGCAGAGCAACTGCCCCGCAAACTTGCGCCGTGCCTCAACAAGCCCCTCTGCGCAGCCACAGCCATGGGAAGGGAAGGCAGCGCGCATTCCCCTTTGTTAGGCTACCCCCCAGCCTCCCTTGGGTTCCTCCCACAACGCTCCCAGCCCCTGGCGCAGCCCCCAGCCTCCCACCCAGCAGCCCAGCCCCTCACCAAAATGACCACGGAGGACACAGTCACACATCATCAGCATTTATTTACATGTTATTAATAAGAAAATTATTAATCATCCTGATCTAGTTGAAGATGTCCCTGCTCATGGCCAGGGCGTTGGACTAAATGACCTTTAAAGGTCCCTTCCAACCCAAACCATTCTATGATTCTATGAAATGTCCTGAAGTAGGACGAGGAAAGATGCTCAACAGATACCACTAAGTTGCACTCCAGGAAAGACACTGCTCACCAGCTCAAAGTGTTTCTGCTCAGCCCTGGGGAGCAACCAGAGCCAGCTGACTGCATCACCAGCCAGCGCAGCGAAGCTCGGGCACACGAGGACGCAGCTTTGAAACCATCCTGTGGCCAGGAAAGCCTTCAGAAGAGCAAGCAGCTCTGCTGCTCTCTGCTCCACGTCCCCTCAGCAGCCTGGTTCGAGGCATGCCTTCTCCCCGAGGCCCAGAAGCCTGGCTCCCAGGCCTGTGGGAGATGAAAGGCTCAGCCCCTACGGAAGGGAAACAGCACACACGGTTCGGAGAGGACTCCACATTACCTTCTCTAGCCAGGCCAGGAGCTGTGCCCATGGCTCGAAAGCTAGCAGGAACAGGCGACATGCAGGGTCTGTCGCAGTGGCAGGACCACTCTCTGTGAGGGCACTGAAGGTCAGCTCGCTATCTCACACCTAGAAATCAGGTAACACTGCAGTATTAAGTGGAAGGGACAAGGGACAGAGGCTTGCGGCCACCAGACACAGTAAGAAGTGCGGGACCCAGCCTGTTCACCTCCACCCAGGCAGAGAAGAAGCAGGGCAGCAGCCTCCATCACCAACTGCATCCAGTCAGACCAAGTACGGGCACCTCAGGCCCGACCGTCTTCACCCTCCAATGCCACAGCCCATCCCTGCGAGCCACGGGACGCACCCTGGGCTGCAGGCCACGTCAGCCGCCATAGCAATGTTCCTGGAGTTTCCTACCCCATCTCAGATAGAGTCCTGCTATAGATACACAGAGTAGAGTGTCAGAACAGGTCAGCCCTAAAATGATTCCTCCCTGGTAAACCCTCTGAGCTGCCAGCAATCGGGAGAGTATTCAAAAGAATCTGCTTTGATAGATTATCTGTTAATGCAGCCCTGTTTGTCCCTGCCCAGCAGGGTGCCCAGTATCACCCCGAGAAGCAGGAGGCAGCGGTGGTCACATCTCATCGGCATGGTGCTGCTGGATGACAACTCTGGCAGCACGTTCCACCCACTCCTGCCTCTTGGCTTTCCATGCCGCCGGCACTGCTGCCTGCAAAGTGTTGCTCTGGGAGCGCGGCTCCTGAGGCTGGGAAAGGCCCAGCTCAGAGCCTGCTGCTGCTGGAGGGTTGGAGGACGAGTTGCTGTTGAAAGGAGATCCGGGATCGGGGTTGGGTGGACTCTGCCCCTCTTCCCATGATTGATTGAGGCTGCCCAACAGCGAGGGGTCATGAGGCTGTGGGCTGAACCCCTCCAGTGCAGCGTCCTCCTGCACATCAGGTGCTACCCGGTCTGGGAACTCGCGGATCTGCCGTGACAGCACTGAAAGAGAGGTGGAGCCAGCCCGGTCATTCCCAGCCTCTCATTGTCCTGCTCCGAGCACGGGCCGCCACAGAGCCCGTGAGAGGGGAACAAACTGTTCAACTAGGGCTGCCTTCTCCCAGGGGAGGCAGGGAGAGGACGCTGCACAGCTGCCAGGCACAAGCACAGTTTGTGCTCCAAGAGGGACTGGATCCCTCCAGTTCTTGCACCGCCCCTGGCCCAAAGCCCTGCAACAGGGCTGAGGAAGGAAGAGTCCAGAGCTGGGGCGAAAGAGCAAAGCCAAAACTAGAGGTCACCCCAGGCAAGGGGCTGCTGGGTTGGAGCACGCCTG